CAGCACTAATATCTCTGGTCTTTGACATTATTACCAAAGGCAAACCTATGTTAATATTATTACAATCAAAGACTTTCTGAAGCTTTTACAAGAGTATATTTACTGAGAAGACATAGCAAGAACAGAAGTTACAAATATTCCATTCCCTAGGACCTGAAAGGGGGGAATGACAGATACTCTCCTCTATGTCATCATGGTCCCTGGGGGAGAGTGGGCTCAGATTTAAAGCAATGTCTACGTAGGATTGGTGACGCCAAGTTCACTTCCAAATGTAGCACAGCTGCTGAATGAGTTCTCATCTCAACTATCTCTGGGCTGTGTCTGTCAGGTTATTCTTCAAGGACTTGCTGGTGGACTGGATGGCTACAAAGCCCAACATGAAACCTACTTCCCTAACCTCTGGTGGTTCACCATTCTAAGCTTTCTGAGTTCACAAAGTCATAGCTAGCTCCAATATTCCTTCACTGAAAGCAAGGAGAATGGACAGATACAACAGAGAGAAGCAACAGTAGAGCCAGGCACCCATGTGCCACTTGGCAGTGGCTCCAAAGTGGAGGAGATCAAGGTCCCCTTGGAGGTTAATACTATTCCCTGCCTCTATACTATATTGTGGTCAGCCAGGAAAGAGACAGAATTTGTACCTGTTCTGCCTAAAATCTCATTAATCATACTATTAATCGATAACAATATGTAGAGTTTGACAGGGCTTAAAGATTTACCTAATGACATTATTCTGGAAGAATAAATCATTAGTCCCATCTGGACAGGTTTAGTGTGGAAAGATACTGAAAGTCCAAATTAATGTGAGAATAATTACACATGAATGTAGTGGAAAGTATGTTCTTTGACTCCACTATGAGTTTTTCCTACATCTCAGTAGGAGGTACTAACAAATTAGATTGCTGAACAATTTGGGCATTTGGTGATGGTGTTGCAATATGAGTTTGGGCTCTCTGATGGGTCTAAGATAAAATTCTTGTAAACAATACATCAAAAAATAAGAGAGTAGCAAAGTATCTTTTAAAATACAGTTCTGCTATGCCCAAAGAGCTATCTGCTATGCTCAGAGGGCTATAAAACTGTGTATAGCCTTTGATCCAGCAATATCAATACTAGATCTGTATCCCAAAGAGATTTATAAAGGGAAAAGGACCTATTTGTACAAAAATATTTATAGCAGCTCTTGTAGAAGTGGCAAAGAACTGGAAATTAAGGGAAGACCCATCAATTGGGGAATGGCTGAACAAGTTGTGGTATATGATTACAATGGAATACTATTGTGCTACAAGAAATGATGAGCAGGCAGATTTCAGAAAAAAACTGGAAAGACTTGTATGGACTGATGCTGAGTGAAGTGAGCAGAACCAGGAAAACGTTGTACACAGTAACAGCAATATTATATGATGATCAACCGTGAATGCCTTAGCTATTCTCAGCAACACAATGATCCAAGACAATAGAACTGATAGAGTCCAAATGCAAATCAAAGCATACTATTTTTCTGTGGAGGGTTTTTGGTTTGGGTTTTTTTTGGTCTGTGTTTTCTTTCAGAACATAACTCACACGGAAATGTTTTGCATGATTGCACATGTATAACCTATACCAAATTGCTTACTGTCTCAGGCAGGGGGAAAGAAAAGGGAGGGTTAAAACTATTTTTACATGTAATTGGGAAAAAACAAAATGTTATTCATATAAAAACAAAAAATATAGTTCTGGAGAAAGATTCCAAGGAGAAAAATCCAGGCCCTATTATATGCATTTTTTAGTAATGACAATACATATTCACCTAATTAATCAACAAGCATTTAATAATTGCCAATTATATATGATATATATATATATCTTTGTCTTCATAAAGAGAAATACATTATCTTATTTCATACTCAACGGCCCTGTAAACTAGACAAGGTATCCCAACTTTATCGATGATAAAACAGGTTTGCAAAGGGGTTGAAAGACTTACTTGAGGTTATGGAGAAAATCAATCAAAACAAATTTATTAAGCACCCTCTACATGCCAGGCCCAGTGTTAGGCACTAGAAACACAAAGACAAAAGGGAAACAGTCACTGATGTTATTAAGTTCATTTTCTATGGAGGGAGATGACATGTATTAGTAGATACAAAATAGCTTATATTTTCTCAAGAGACAATATATGTAAGCATATACAAAACAAAAAACAAATCCATGTTAATTTTGGGAGTCGGGAGCTAGATCAATGAGAGAAGGCTTTATGTAGAAGGTAACGCTAACAAATGGAGGTGAGAAGTCAGAGATCTTTCTACTGTTTCACAAATAAGCAATATTTTTCTGTTAGTAGGAATAGTTGTGTATTTATATGTAAATATGGAGAATAGACAACTGGGCATATTCCAGGTGAACAAAATTTCTTATTATATATTACATCACATACACATCACATAAATCATATTGCACAACAATTTAGGTGTTTGGTGATGGTGTTGAAATATAGAAAGGTGATTGGCAAAGTATGGGGCTCTGTAAAACTAGGACTTTTACAGGCTGCCACTGTTATTTATGCTTTGCTGTTCTTGGGGCTGCTGTTCTTCTGTTTTTCCTCTTTCCTACTGTCTGAACTACATTTAATGTTTTCATTTCTATTTTTTTCTTTACTTTGTGGTATGAGAGGCAGCGTGACATTGCAGAAAAGTGAGTAGGTCTTAGAGTTGGAAGACATGGGTTCAGCACAATCTCTGATTCCTACTGGCAATATGGGCCAATCATTCAACCTCTAGTTGACCCTGGGCAACTCTCTGTGGTAGAGGGATGCTTCTGACCAGAAGATCCCAGCATCAATGAAATCACAGGTCCTAACCAAAAGGAAAAAAAAAATGGCATAATGGATATAGTGCATAGTGTGGATGGAATCCAAGTCTCATCTCTTATTAGCTCTCAATCAAGTCACTTAACCTTACAGACATGCAGTTACCCCTCCATAAAGTGGGGCTAATAATTCCTGTCATCTGTCCTACTTACTTCACAATCAAATAAAACGATTCATGTGGAAGTCCTTTGAAAATTCCAAATTGTTGTGTAAGGTATTCCTTAATTAATTATTATAATTTTTTTTTTAATGGAGGTAATCAAGATTAAGTGACAGGGTCACACAACTAGTGTCTCAGTGAACTCGGGTCATGCTGACTCCTGGGCCAGTGCTCTATCCACTGTAGCAACTAGCTGCCCCTGTGTAAGGTATTCTTAAAGCAGGAGATCTTAACCTTTTTGCACCTGTCATAGATCCCCTTTGGCAGTCTAGTAAGGCCTATACAGTGGAACCCTTCTCAGAATGATGTTTTTAAATGCATAAAATAAAATATACAGAATTATAAGAAAATAAGCATTTATCAATTGCCTACTTTGTGCCAGGCACTGTGCTAAACACTCTACAAATATTATCTCATTTGATTATCACGATAACATTGGGACACAGGTGTTATTATTATTCCCATTTTACAGTTGAGGAAACTGAAGCAGACAGGGTTTTGATGACTTGCCCCCAGGGTTACACAGTAAGTTACTGAAGCTAGATTTGAATTCAGGTCTTCCTGATTTTAGGCCCAGCACTTACTATACCTGCTCTTTTTTTTTTAAATTTTTCCCATGTAAAAACAATTTTAAATATTCTTCTTATTGAAAGTTTTGAGTTCCAAATTCTATCCCTCCTTCACCCTATACCTGATATAGTGTAACTGCTTTTACAGTAGGTGGTACCTACTGTGCCACTTTTTGTTTTTAAAAGGAAACCAGTTATACTGAAATACAGTTATGAACTTTTTTATGGACTCCAGGTTAAGAACCCTGGTCAAAGTCATTGGTAACATGTTTATAAAACACCTTGCACAGACAGAGGCAGGGAACAGGATGATTCAATGTAATAAAATAAAAACAAACGTCTAAAAGTGAAAATGAAAGAACGCAAAATAATAGACAAAACAACGAATATAGTCAAAACAAATTAATGAATAATACCAATGTAGGTAGGGTAGAGAATAAAAAAATAGATAAGTAAAATAAATGAGATAATGAAATACCACAAATGAAATATTTAAGTTTTAATAGCTTAAAACTGCATTAGGACTTTTGAGGCACACGGTACACATAAAAGCTCTTTGCTAACATTAAAGCACTACATAATTTTAAGCTTTGATTATTACTGAGAATTAACGCATTCTGGCATAAGATAAAGGTAGTTGGGAATACCCTACCCAGACACTACAGATGCATAGGTCTGAAGGGCTTAACCTCCACATAAAAACAGGGATGAGTCTTCAAAGAGGTGGAAAAAGGAACCATGGCAAAAGTCGTCCGATGGGCTTTCTTTTTCTATAAACAATCTCCGAAACTCCTAATGCAAACATTCTTTTTTCTACCTGATGTGGAAGGAGGAAGGAATCTCCTTTGCTCGCTAATTCCCGATCTTTAAATGCCTCTCTTTCTGTCCATTTCCTACCTGTATCAACATCATCATCATCCCCAATCGCTCACAAGCATCCGATGGGGATGCGGGAAGGAGGGCACCGTCCTCTGTCTGACCCTGATGGACATCCTCCTGCGGATAGGTGTTTCCAGATGGCTTATCTCCCACAAACTGCAGTCCCCCCAGATGCAGTTAAGTGAAGATAATGTGTGCACGGAGAGGGTGGAGTCGCAGGGACCACCAGCACGTCTCAGCCAGGCTCTAGTTAGGCCGCGTGCCCCGCCAGGGCTCAGCTCCCCAGCCTGGGCATTTAAGCCGGTGCAGGCTGAGACGCAGAGGCCCGGCTCCAGCTGCCTCCCTCCGCCGGACCCTGGGGTCATCGATCCACTCGGCGATCGCGGCCGCCTGCGCCGCAGCAGCCCCGCCCCCCGCCCCCCGCCCCCTCCTCCAGCCCGCCCTGCAGAGGAGCGGGGAGCGCCGAGCGCCTGGATGCTCGCTGGTCCGAGCGGGCGGCGGGGGAGCGGAGCGGCTGACGCTGGGTCCGCGCCCGCGGCCATTTCCCCCTCCCCCTCCTCCCCTTCCCTCCCCCGGCCCAGCTCAGCCCGGTCGGGCCCGGCCCGGCCTGGCCTGGTTCCGAGGGGCGAGCCAAGCCTTCCGGCGGAGTCCCAGGTACCTGGGGAGCACCAGTCTCGATCCGCGGGTGGTGGGGTCGGGGGGGTCACCGCGCACGGAATAGCCGCCGGCCCCAACGGCCAGTCCGGCCAGCCCTCGCCGGCCGTCTTCTGGCACGGGGGTGGGATGGAGACGGAGCAGGCTGGGGGGGGCGGGCGCGGGGGCTGCGATCGGGCGGCCGGGAGGGCTTGGGGTGGGGGGGATCTGGGAGGGACGACCGGGGGGGGGGGGGGCTTGGCTAGGTAGGGAAGAGGGGGTAGGAAGCGCGGTTGCAGCCTTACCTGACATGAAAGCATCTTTTGGGGGATGAAATGGGCTGGTAATGACTGAGGCAGCCTGGCGACGCGGGGAGAGCGCTGGAGCCAGGGTAGAATTGGGTTCAAGTCCCATCTAAAATCCCAACTTCTACAGGAAGCTTTTCCCAGTCCCTCTTAGTTCCATTTAAGTAAAACAAATGAGAAAGGATTTAAGCTTTAGCAGTTTTAAACTGCATTAAGACTTTTGGGACACACGGTGCCTCTAAAGCTCTTAGCTAACAGCAAAACACTACGTAACTTTAAGCTATAATTATTGCTAAGAACTAAAGAATTCTGGCACTCTGATTATTTCCTGTCCCTAGCTTCTTTGTACATAGTTGTTTGCATGTTGTCTCCCCCATTAGACAGTGAGCTCCTTTTGCCCCAGCACTTACACACAGTAGGCATTTAAATGTTTGTTGACTGGCCAACTGATTTTCTACTGGCTGTGGGTGCTCCAGGCAGCTCTCTAAATTGCCGGGAATAGAGAAAGTTCCCTCACATGGTGGTTCTGAAGCCACCAGGTCTTATTGACTGCTGTGGAAGGTTAATATCGAGCATTTATAGCCATTTTAAGTTTTGCAAAGTGCTTTACTGCTGATATCTCATTCAAGAGTCACAGAGATGGGTGCTATTATTATCCTTATTTTACAGATAAGGTTACTTGTCTGAAAGAAGTTAAGTGATTTGCCCAGGGTCTCCAGGCAAAGTAAACGGCTTAGGCATTGTGGGCCAGCCCTTATTCAACCTTACTCTGTGGTATGAATGTCACCAGCTGACTGGCTTTGTAAATAACTCACCTGTCTCTTTTTTCCTTGATTGCATTTCTGTGAACCAGAAACTAAAGATCTTAAAGGAAGAGAAAGAAGAAAGACTGTAATTTTATACAAGCTCTTATCCTAGAGGAGAATTTAGAGATTTTAGGGACATTGGAGCTGGTCAATTCCCAGCTCCTTATTTTACAGATGAGGAAGTTAAGGCTCAAAGAGATGAAGGGCAGCGGCAGGGTCTGAACCCAGGCTATCTGACTCCCTATCTAATGTTCTTTGTACAATACCCTGATCGGCCCCCTAGTCTAGCTCATTAAGAGTGACATTTTATAAAAATGTTATAGGGTTAGGGGGTTATGTTCTAGGGAATTTTGGAGGTCATAATGAATAGTAACCTGGTTCTTTGTCCTATTTAAGATACAGTGATAAGTTGGATGTTTATAAATTGGTAAGCCTTGCCTAATAGTCCCCCCTCTCCCGTCCTGCCCTTTGAAGAAGTCTTCAGATATTGGATTTTTTAATCTATATTGCTTTATCCAAAAAGTAGTGATATGCTACTGACACAAATTACAAGTTGGATGAAAATGTATTTAGCCCAGGGAAGATGGCATAGGATTTTAAATCCTGTGCTAGGAGGAAGCTCAGTGGCTTTCTAAACCAGTACTTTCATGTTAGGGATGAGGAAACAGGCCAGGGGATTGACTTGCCAAAATGTGGTTAAGTAGCAGAACTGACTGCCTTACCTTTCAACCATACTGGCCTACTTTCTGTTTCTCACCTCCCAAATTCCATCAGGCTCTACCTTTGTACAGGTTCTCTGCCCATCCTCCCTGGAATACATTACATCCTGTCTGCTCTTTCCTTTCCCTGCTGCGCTTTCTCTACCTCTCAAAATCTCTGGATTTCTTCAGCTTTCAGCTCAAGGGCTATCTCTAGCCTTTGGCCTTTACCTACCCCTCCCCTTATCCCGGCTGTTAGTGTATCACTTTGTATTTATTTTCTGTTTACTTGTATATATTTCTATTTACCTTCTATTTATGTCTCAAGTAAGGAAAGAGAAATGAGAATGCTGCAGGATTTCCCCCATTAAACATTGTGTTCCCAGGTCAAATGTTTTATAAAAGATCATTTCCCTCATTAGATCCCCTTAGTATTAAACATTTAAACTAATGGAACTGATTCCTTTTAACCACTTCTGTTTGTACTGGGTTAAGCAGCCCACTAGTCAGTCAAGCATTTATTAAGTACCCACTGTGTACCAGAAACTGTGCTAGGTGCCAGAGATTAAATACAAAGAATGAAATAATCCCAATGCTAAAGTAGCTTATGATCTAACCAAGGACACAGTAAGTACACACACACACACACACACACACACACACACACACACACATGCGCGTGCATGCGTGTGTGTGTGTGTGTGTGTGTGTGTGTGTGTGTGTATGTATGTATGTACAGAATAAACACAAGGTAGTTAAGGAAGGAGGGTATTGCATTTGGGAGGATCAAGAATAGGCTTCATGTAGAAGGTGGAACTGAATGAATCTTTAAAAGGCCAGGGATTCTGTGAGGTGGGGGGAAGAGAAGGAATGCATTCCAGGCCTGGTGGATGGCTACTGCAAAGGCACAGAGATGGGAAATGAAGCATTGTCTCTTAGGAATGGAGAGAAGGCCAGTTTGAGTAGTATCCAGTTACTCATCCCCGCATAAACCTACCTTGTCTAATCCTGCTCTCATCTTTGCCCCAAGAGCTTTGATGTAATTTATGGTAATAATAGTTGGATTTTATGGTGCTTTGGGGAGGTATTGTGGCTATGAAAAAATGGGAAGTATGAAGGTGTTGGTATATTCAGTGTTTCCTAGTTACACTGGCACATAATCTTGGGAATCACGTGAACACTGAGATACTAGCTTCCATGAAATAGAAAAGTCTAATTTAGACAACAAAAAACTTCCCACGAAACACACAAATCCCTCTGTGAGTCAAAGAGTTTCGTGGTGGTGATCTGATTGATGATGCAGGACATTAGGTCATTCAGTAGAACTCTTCACTCTTCTTTGTCAGTCAGATACTAATTATATTCATTTAAAGAGTGACTTGGGGATTAGATGGAATCGCAGGGAGATTGACCGATAAACAGTTCTGGAAATTTACGTTTTTGAATCTTTTTTTAACCTGAACCAACCCCCAGCCTTTGATTAAAATGTTTTAATCTGTTCCATATTTAAGTCAGATTTGCATTTGAGGGCTTTGAATATAACCTGATTCCCATCCTCTTCTGACTTCTATGGATTGCTTATTCATACAGAAGATCCTTTTGTGGGAGTGAAGTCCTGCATGTGAAAGAATTATATACAGGACACTAAACAAGAATGGGAATCTTTATTTTAAAATGTATGTACATAGAATAGACTAAACTTCATGATTTGCTGATAGTCTGTTGTTTTTCTTTATAATTTATAATCAAGGCCATGTTGGCCTCAACCTACAATAATTCACACCTCTGTTACATGTGATACCTTACAAAGTTTTGCAGTTTACAAAATGCTTGCACTTATATACACATGCTGTCCCCAGCTCTTAGCACACTGCCTGACACACAGTAAGCATTTAAGTAATGATTGTTGAATTGAGGTTAAGGGAGTTGTATACAGCTAATAAGTGTCAGTGACAACATTCGTACCCAGGGCTTCTCAATTTAAATCTAGTGCTTTTTCTAATATATCACACTCCTGCCTCCCTTTCGAGGAAAAGATTCTCTAGATCATTCAAAATTAATTACTTAACCACAAGTTTGATTTTTTTAAGTATTTAATTTTTTAAAAAATTCTGAACTTAAACACCAAATGAAATGGATATTTCCGTATATATAACAGAACCGACAATGAGAATTGTGCAAGAAACAGTAATCTCTTATGTATAACTTCTTTTTCTTTTAAATATAAGTTAAATTGAAAATGTAACTTTCAAAGCCATCCTACATGTCTGTGAGTCTTACTGTCCTTCAATCTGTTCTTTTCTGTATATTTAAAAAAATGCTTCAGTGATCTTCTTTCTTTTCCAGTACCTTCTCCCTAGGTCCACTGTTGAAAACTCACAATTGAAAACCAAAACCAAAACCTATCTTTACAGGTGTAGTCAAGCAAAACAAATTCCCACTTTGGCTGTAATAGATAATGCATGTCTTGTTCTAAGTATTCTGTGTCTGAAAGATTTACCTTAGGAGTCTATTTCCTGTCAGGATGTGGGTAGCATGTTCATCATCAGCCCTCTGGAGCTAGTTATTGTTTTGATTAGAATTCTCAGGTCTTTCAAAGTTTGTCTTTGTAATGTTTTTGTTATTATATAAATTGTTTGACAGGTCATCAGTTCGTATGATCTTCCCAGGTTCCTCTGAAAACATCACTTATGTTGTTTCTTATAGCACAATAGTATTCCATTATATTAATGTGCCGTAATTTGTTCAATTATTCCCCAGCTGTTGAGCACACTTTTTTTTTTTGCTACAACAAAAAAACCCTGATACACATATATACATATATACACATGGGTCCTTTTCCTATTTGTTTGATCTCTTTGTAGCCTAAGATTAGTTATATCTCTGGGTCAAAGAGTATGCACAATTTGGTAACTTTTTGGTCATAAATCCAAGTCATTTCCCAGAATAGCTTCAGCAGTTCGTAGCTTCACCAGCAGTGCATTGTTGTTCCTATATTCCCAGTGTCCTTCTATCAACTGCCATTTTAAATTTTGTCAATTTTGGTAATCTGATGGATGTAAGGTGACATCTCAGTTACTTTAATTTGAATTGTATTGGGCAGCTGGGGGGACAGTAGATAGAACTCTGGGCCTAGAGTCAGGAAGACCTAAGTTCAGATTTGACCTCGGACGCTTACTAGCTGTGTGACCCTGGGTAAGTTACTTAATCTCTGTTTGACTCAGTTTCTTTATTTGTAAAATGGGGATAATAATAGCACCTACTTCCCAGGGTTGTTGTGAGGATCAAATGAGATAATACTCATGAAGCACTTTGCCATGCCTAGAGCGTAGTTAAGTTTTCTATAAATATTATCTATTATTATTATTATTGTCATTATTTAATTAGTGATTTGGAGCATTTTTCACATGGTCATTGATAGATTGAAGTTCTTCCTTTGACAGCTTGTTCATAGTCTTTAGCTGTTTATCTGTTAGGGAATGCTTTGTTCTTACCAAGTTGAATTAGGACCTATTATTAGTTATGAGACCTTTATCAGAGAAAGTTGCTGCAAAGAAAATTTTCTTGGCTAATTTCTTCCCTTTAATTTCAAGTGCATTTGAGTTTGTTCAACAAATTTTAAATTTTACATAATCAAAATCACTTTATCTTCTGTGATCCACTCTATCCCTTATTTGATCACAAACTCTTCCTCATCCATAGATCTGAAAAGAAGTATCTTCCTTATACCTGTGCTTTGCTATATAAGGGCCCTTTATCTCTAAATTATACATCTGTTTGGAGCTTATGCTGATACATTGTGTGAGGTGTTGGTCCATCCCTGGTTTCTGTGAAACTCCTTTCCAGTTTTCCCAATAGTTTTAAGTCAGATAGTGAATCCTTGCCTGTTGTTGATTTTATTAAACACAATGCTAAATATGTTGATTTGCTTTGGTATGCTGTGCATCTAATCTGTTCCACTGATTAACTGTGCTCTTTTTTTTTAAACTAGTACTAAAGAGATTTGTCATCTCAAACTTCTGAAGTTTTATTCAGGTCCTTGTTTTCTTTTTTATCTTATATTAGAATTGTCTAGATCTTGAAAAGAGTACATTGAGGTGCCCCACTATTTCACTACCAATTTTTCCCTGAAATTTGATTAACTTTTCCTTTAAGGATTTAGAAACTATGCCATTTGGTGCATATGTATTAAGTATTAGTATTGATTCTTTATCTATGGTTCCTTTATGCATAATGTAGTTTCCTGCATGTTACTTTTTATACCATTTTTACTTGTTTGAAATTAATGGTTTGCTTACCCTGATTTTTTTTATTTTCCTAGCATTTAATTTTGAAGTCTTCATGAAATTTGTGTTTCAAGTGTTTCTTGTAAATGATGTATCATTGGATTCTGCTTTCTAATCCATATTGCTATCTTCTATTTAATGGGTGAGGTCATCCCATTCATCTTCATAGTTCTGATTGTTGATTGTGTATTTCCCTGTATCCTGTCCCCTTGTTCTTTTTCCTATCTTTATCTTACTTCCCTCTTTTCAAAGAAGACGGTGGTGAAAGAAGAACATATTTAACATTGGTGATCTGTAATTTCATTTGTTTTCACTCCATTGCACTTCTTCCCTTCTCCTTGCCATGTCCCTGATCACAGGTTTTTACTCTTTCTTTACTTTAAATCTCCTCTTCTCCCTCCGCCTTCCACTGTTGAAATTTGTTTTGCTTGTGATCTTTTCCCCCCACCCCCACATCATGCTGACTATCTTCTTTCTTGTTTTGCTACTGAACTTAATGTTCTTTTTATGTATGATGTGTTCAGCCTTTGTGTGGTTAAGAAGAAAGTGAAGTTCATGTGACACCTGTTTCTCCCATCCTTTTCTCCATGTTTTTATAGTGCTCATTTCACGTACCCCTGTTATGTGAGATAGTAAGTTCCTTTTCCTCCTTTTCTCCTCACTATATTTCCCTATCCCTGTCCCTCCTATTTCCTCTTCTAAGGTCATCAGAACAGAACTACCTCCAGGTTCTGCCTATTTACCTTTCATTATGACAGTCAAAGACATTAGAATTGTGAAAGGACACATTTCTTTTTTCTCTATTAAAATGTAAACAATTTATAATCATGTACCTTGGAAGTGATCAAATGAATTTTCCTTTTGATGTTTCCCTTGATCCAGTGTTTGCATTTCAGTTTCCACTTAGTTCTAGCCTTTTCATCAGGAATGACTGGAAATCTTTTTCTCCCTTGTAGGATTTATGCTCAGTTTTGCCAAATTGGTTATTCTTTCTTGTAAGCCTATATCTTTTGTGTTTTGCAGTGTTGAATTCCAAGTTGCCTTCTCCTTTATAGTGACAGCTGCTCTATTTGCTGTGATCTTAATTCTGACTCTTGGGGACTTGAATTTTTTCTTTTATACTACTTGTCATTTCTATTTTTTGACCTGGAAGCCTTGGATTTTCACTACATTGTTCTGGGAGTTTTCATTTTAGGGTTTCAAGGGCATAATTTTCAGGGAGCCTGATGATGATTTGATTATTTCTCTTTGATCCTTTCTCCTAGGTCATTTAAAAAACATTTCTTAAGCACTTAGACTTACTGTGTGTCTGGCAGTGTGCTAAGTGCTAGGAATATGAAAATAAGACATTTCCTGCTCTCAAAGAACTTACATTCTAATTGTGAAACACAGCCTTAATAGGGAATTGGAAAGTGATGGGGAATCGAGGAGGCAGAAGGTACCAGTGCAGGGAAGTAGAGCAAAATGGAGAGTGAGTTGAAGAGAATAAGAGCTGCATATCTGGGCTTTCTCTGGCTCTGGAGGATCCAGGAAGGGATTCACTAATTATTGAGTTGGCCTTAGGGTGGAGTCATCCCCAGGGGTCTAGGAAGCCAGTATAGAGGTTAAGAAGGTTGAAGAGTGAGCCAGGAAGAAAGAAGTGAATGCTAGGCAGGAGCTGAGAAGTCACTGAGTTGACCTCTGGGTGGAGTCATCCCCTAAAGGTGAAGCAGCTGGGGTCGGGGATGGGGAGGGGGGAGGGCCCTAACTCTGAAGGTGAGACAGAAATGGTAGTATAGTGGATAGAGCCGTGGACTCCATCCACACAGGAAGGCCCGAGTTTGAATCCTGCCTTAAGTGCTTACTGGTTTGTAACCTAGGACAAGTCACTTAATTTCTTTCTGCCTTAATTTTCAGGAAAATAACCTACCTCCCAGGGTTTTTGTGAGAATCAAATGAGATAATATTTATGAAGTGCTTTGCAAAACTTAAAATACTATATATGTTAGCTAGTTTCTTCTTCTTCTTCTTCTACTACTACTACTACTACTACTACTACTACTACCACCATCACCATCACCACCATTACTACATTTTATTCTCTTATTTTGGTCTTTTGATTTTATTGCATTATTTCATTTTGTCTTGGGGCCAGGTTTTCTGCTTGGCCCCTTCTAACATATACTGAATTCAGTTCTTCATCATCTCTTCTAAGGTATTAATTCTATTTTACCTAACTGTTGTTTTCTTGAACATTTTATTTTGTATCTTTTTTTCATATTTTTGAGGTACTCTTATCATCCCTTTGGCTGGGAAAGTCTTTTCTCTGAGGCTTCCCTAGGACTCGTGGAGTTGCTCTCTTCTCCTTCAGTCCATAGGACTTCATTTTGCTCAGCATTTTCTTCTGATTAATCATATCTTCAGCCTTAGTTTTTAGATTGGGATTTTGTGCTTATGTCATACTGATTCCTCTTGTATCCTTGAACAATATGGGAAGGCCCCATTCTCAATGTGGTGTCCAAGACTTAATCTCACATGTTTTTCAGGAATTCCTGGATTTTGCATAATTCCAGACCTGGAGTTGGTTCTCTTCCTTTCTGTGAACCTGACCAGCCCGTCCCTGATCCCCTACCCCCATGTGGTTGATTGTGCTTGTAGCTTCTGGCCGTTTCTCCTCCTGTGCTGCCTGGTCTTTTCTCTTGCGCTGGATTTATACACACACACACACACACACACACACACACACGCACACGCACACGCACACGCACGCGCGCGCGTGTTCCATGTCAGAAAAGAGGCTCACTTTGCCTTGTTTTCTGATCTCTAAGGTCCCATTCAACTCTAAAATTTGATAACCTTTGTTTTAGTGATATGAGAAGCAATAGAATAAGATGGAGGGACAGAGAGGTGGTGAATATGGATTTGGGATTAAGTGTAATCTGAGAAAACCAGATAATTTTTGAAAGGTGAATAATTAAAAAAAATTATTCATAAGATTGTGTTCAAGTATAGAAAAGGGAAGAATTGAGTGAATGTTAAAATGTCTTGTGAAGGTTAAACCTTTCACATTTTGCTCTATCAAATTTGTGATGCAGTTAAAAAGTTTCATATCAGTTGCACTCATCAATACACATTGATTTTTCTCTTTAAGGTGGTATATATCTGCTTCTTAAAGTTGAGAGAAGGAAAACAACTTTTTTGAGTAATAAAGATGCCTCCTAAATTCAAGCGCCACCTAAATGATGATGATGTCACTGGTTCTGTGAAAAGTGAAAGGGTAAGTTCTTTGCAAGAAGCTTTTAAAAATAGTAAATCAAAATAATAGTTATTATCATTTCTAAGTCATTTGCTCTAGGGAGCGAAATGAAAAGTATTTGACTATACTAATTAATTTCTTATCTATTATTGGTGTACATAACAAGGTATGTATGTAGAGAGATTTTTACCAAGAGCAATTAATTCCTTAACTGAGATGCAACCATCATAATGTTTCATAATTTCGTACTGACAGATTTTTTTAGTTTTTTTAAAAGGTATATAATCACCTAATTTTTAAAAGCAGCTTATATAATACCTAAATTGCTAGTCTATTTTGAGAATAGTACATGAAAATTGCACTTATATCTGGAAATCATGAAGCATTTTAAAAGTAGACGTTTTGAAATGGATTGTTAAGTAGATTACTTTTTTATCAGGCACTTAAATTCCTGTTGAGGAAATGAAGGCATTCATTTATCTCTTTTTATTGATCCAGCTGGCTGATTGAAGTCCTTATCATACAAAGACTTTAGCTCAACAAAGCAAAACTTGTGCTGCCCTTGTAATTTTTGTTATCAAGTAAACATTAAAATGAAGTTTTTAGTGTGTGCGTGCACAATTTACTGTTTTTATCATTTAAACTCTTAATTTATCTATTGTTAAAGGGCAAAGGCTGGTGATCCCAAACTCTGCATAGGAGTGACCACTTACCACCTAAATTGTCTGGTTTTGGGGTTTTTTTTAAATCTGAGTCCAGATATAAACTTTAAGTCACTCAATCACTAAGTGACATATATAGCATTCCAAGAAAATAGTCTAACAGTTGCCTTTTTAAAAAAAGTCATTTATTTTGTTTGAAGTGTGACTTAAAAGTATGACTCATTTAAAAAACTTGTATGAAAAAGAGTGTTGTCCCTTAAAGAGGTTATCTTTTGAGGCTTTACACTTATCCTAATACTGCTTCCTCCCACACTTCAGAAAACATATGAACTCTTCCCTTGGAACATTATCTTTGCAAGTTTAGGGAACTAAAAAAATCAGATTTGTGATTTTTATGGTCATACCTTGTTTGAGATTACAAAAAAAAAAAAGAAAAGAAAAAAGGTGCAACTTGCTCATACATCATATTCGCTGGATTTTGTCTCAGAAAACTTGGCTGTTTCTAAATATCAAATGAACCTTCAAAGGATAAAAGTTTTTCAACATTAAGGATCTTCTTTCTAAAAGATGTATTGAAGGCTCCAAAGGCAAGGAGTTCTAAAAAAGGGAAGAAAATTTATTTCCTGGAATATGTCAAACTAGTATGTTAGCCAGATAATTAGAGAGAAGGCTTTTTATGAAGTCTTCAGAAGTGATACTTGCATATAAATTAATAATTGACAATAGAAATCAAACAGGCATTTAAAAATGAATCTTATTGGCAAAGAAATATTTTAAAACCTATTTTCTTACTAAGATCATGTTTAATTTTTTAAAAAAAATTCAATGCAGGAAGTTATAGGAGAATTAGTTTAAGTTTAGACTCATCTGTGATACATGACATATTAAAGTTTGAAGGCTAAAGAATAAAGTTATATTTTCTAGAAAGATGATTATACCACATCTGTTATTTTATAAAATGCTTTATTTTGCAGAGAAATCTTTTGGAAGAAGATTCAGATGAAGAAGAGGATTTTTTCCTGTAAGTATTTTGTAATTCTCTTGCTATATAGAAATGAAATTTGTTCCATCCCATTTTAGGGGTAATTGGCAAACTGATATTGTTTAATTTTAGTACATTCTAGTTACTTCTTTTAGTTTTGCTAATCTCACCTTCAGGAACTTTTTTTTTTTACCATTATATGCTTTTCAGTTACCCATTTTTTTGGAAGTTGCCTTAGGTTCAAAACATTTGGTTTTTATGAAGGTTAATATTTTGCAATTAATTCATGATTTTATCTATTAATACTTTCAAATTTTCTGTTCTCCCTATCAATAACTTTTTTTTAAGTGAGGCAGTTGGGGTTAAGTGACTTGCCCATAGTCACACAGCCAGGAAGTATTATGTTTCTGAGGACGGATTTGAACTCAAGTCCTCCTGACTTGAGGGCTGGTGCTCTATCCACTGTGCCACCTAGCTGCCCCCATATCAATGACTTTTAAAATTATTTCCTTCTCATCTTCTTTAGAACCATTTGATTCTAGCATCAGTTCCTTCCAAGATTCAAAAAAAATTGCCATACAATTTCATTTCCACATGTAATTTTCTGCCAATGTTAATTCTTCCTGAAATGTGATATCCATTTCAGGATCTTGAGATTATTGTGTGTCGTTTTCTTTTTCCAGATTCATTGCTTCAAGTGCTTTAAGACCTTTATTTCAATTAATGAGCAACTTATTTGTATTATTTTGGAACTCTTTGATTTACTCATTTTGGGGGATATTCAAATATTCTTGTCTGGATTTTTAGCGGTTTTGCTTCTTGTTGCTTCAGTTATTTTTGAGAGAGTTATGAAGATCTGTGCACACTTACAACTCTCATTCTGTGATCTTCTGAAAGTCTTTGTATTGAGGAGACTGTTTTGGGAAGGAGTGTATGGTTTAGAGAAACCTTACTAGGAGATTTAAAGAAAGATAGATCTACTATGTCTTAAGTTTGAGGGAAATGGATAAGGCACTATGGAGGATGTTTTTTGAGGTTATATAGGTATGTACAATGAACATCACCAAGCTATTTCTGATTTTTTTTCTCGGTAGTACAAATCATTTCGGTATATGAAGGTGAGCTCTTTGGCTGTGTTTTTAGCCTTTTAGTACCTGTCCTATCCCACATATTCACTAGAATTTGCCACATTTACTTGTAATGTCTAGAACAGTGTTAAGAAATAGCTAAGATGAAATACATTATGCGTGTATTAAAGAGATAACTTGGGAAGTATTGCCATATTTGTATCTCCCATACTGTCATGTAAATTTCATGCTGACTAGTAATCAAATATAATATATTTTGAAATTTTGAATCTTTGAAAAGAATTATTTCTTTGCACAGTCCTGCCATCCAGCATTTTTTGACTGAAAAAAATTGAGTGGTGAATTTTTCTTTTCCTGGGGCATATTTTTGGTTGCTCAGCTTATCTTTTTTACAGTCTCTGATATTCTGTGATTTATTCCTTGTGATGTTTGGAAATCCATTTACTAGAAGCATCAGTGAATAATTAATGATAATTATGTGCATCTAATTCCCTAGAAATGATAACATTAATATGAATTGTCTAAGATTGGGTTAGCAATGAATATGAATGAAGTACAAGAATAAATTAAGTATGGTATAACTCCAGATGTACCAGTAAAATGCTATTTCACTACATGAAATGACTTAGCTATACTTAAAAAAAGGCTTTCATTTATAGGTTTTTGTCTTTTAAAATACTAATAATTGTTAATGTCTACTCTTTACTTTGATTTCAGAAGGGGCCCAACTGGACCAAAATTTGGACCTCGGAATGACAAAATTAGGCAGTAAGTTCCTGCAGTACTCATCCATGAGATGGTGTAGATTTGTTTATGATGAATCCATGTTAACTTGAAATCATCCTTGTGTCATAAGAACCTAATCAATAGTACTTTCACAAAGTTGTGTCTGATTATCAATTTACCAGAGTTGAAAAAATTAAATTCCAGGTGTGTGATTTTCTTTTTTTTTTTTTAAAGATCACTAGGTTAGACAAATGATTTTTTCAGACAAATATGTTAAAGGTCTGCTTTTAAACAGTATTTTAAAACATCAAAGATCCATGATTTCATTGGTATGGTTATTCCTTCTGTTGGTATAACTGCACACAGGCTACATCTTAATTTTTAAAAAAGTCTTTATCTGATTGCCAACCTTTTGGTGATTAAGCCTTTCCAAATTTAGATAGTCTAATTCTTGGACTAGGGTCTATACTCAATGCCTTTCTACTTGAAAGGGCTTACTAGAGCTTACACTGTACTGGCATAGCATTTGAGAACCCAAGAGTTACTTCCATACTATGATAATGCAGTCATCTTAAGAACTTTCTTGGATATTTTAAACATTATTCCTTTAAAAATCTGAGGTCTTAGTTCCCCCCTTTCAGAATTGCATTAACAGGATATTTATTGGATTTATGATTTAAAGTCTCTTTTTTTTAGTCAGTTATTTCTCTACACTAGCTAGTTCTGTGACTTTGGGTAAATGATTCTCTCTGAGCTTCATCTTCCTCATTTATGAAATGAAATAATTGGGCTATCTCTAAGGGCCCTTCTAGCCATAGTTAATATTCTGTGTCCTTGAAAATAATTTTTAATTGACTTTTTTAGATCAATACAGCTTCTTCCAGTATCTCTTCCCTTTCTGTTCCCAGAGAGCCATCCTATATCACCAAAAAAAATCTTAAGAGAAAAAAAAATCAGCAGAATTGACCAATACATAGAAATAGTCAGAAAATATATTCAGTATTATGCTCCCATGGAGTAGGGTAGGGGTATGTTCTCATATCTCCTCTTTGGGGCCATGCTTGTTCTTTGTAATTTTGCAGTATTCACTTTTGATTGTTTTGTGGTTGTTCTTTCCATTTACATAGTGGAAGTTATTGTGTACTGTGTATTCTGTTGTGTAATATTGTGTATGTTGTATGAATATCGTTTTCTTGACTGTGCTTCCTTCACTTTGCATCAGAACATGTAAGTCTGTGCTTTTCTGTATTCATCATATTCTTAATTTCTTACAGCGTAGTAATGTTCCATTACATTCAGGTAATGTTTGTTTTGTATTTGTTTAGCCATTCTCCAACTGATGAGCATCTAATTCTATGTGACCACATAAAAGTGCTGCTGTAAATATTTTGGTGTATGTCGGAGCTTCCTTCTTAGCAAATGACTTCTTTGTGGTGTAAGCCTAGTAGAGGAATCTATGGGTAAAATGATATAAATATCTTAGCAATCTTATTTGTGTGATTCCAAATTGCTTTCCAGAATAATTGAATTGGTTTATAGCTCCACCAGCAGTTCACTAGTGTGCCCATCTTCCCATGTCTTTTCCAATACTGACTAACTATTCCTATCTTTTGTTATCTTTGTCATTTTGTTGGGTATAAGGTAAAAATCTCAAGGTTGTTTTGATTTGCATTTCTCTTATTATTAGTAGTGAATTGGAACATTCTTTCATGTAGTTGTTAATAATTTGCAATTCTTATTTTAAGAACACCATTTATCTCTTGGAAAGTTACTTTTGGTCATATATGTGTATATATGTATATGTATTATAAACATTCATGTATTCATACACATACTTCCATGCATATGTGTATTAGTTGTCTGTATATCTTGGATACCAATCCTTTATCTGAGAAGTTTGATACAAAGATGTTTTTCTTATTTGACTGCTTTCCTTCTTATCTGAGATGCATTAATTTTGTTTGTGCAGAAGCTTTTCAGTTTCATTTAATCAAAGTTATATATTTTTTATTATTGCCTCTATCCTTTGTTTGGTTAAGAACATATCTTCTGCCCATAGCTGTGAAAAATAGATGGTCTGCTTTTTTTCTGAATGTCTTTATGGCATTACGATCTTTAATGTTAAGGTCACGTATCTATTTTAAATTTATTGTGGAATATGGCATATGATGTTTATATGAGCTTAATTTCTGCCATACTGCTTTCTAGCTTTACCAGCAGTTTTTTTTTTTAAAATCAGATAGTGGCTTCTTTCCTAAGTAATTTATGTTTTCTAGTTTATTGAACAAAATGTTAAGTTAATATTCTATGTTTTTAATATTTTTTCCTTATCACTGTCCTTATGTGAGTGAAGATAAGGACATGATTACAAGAAATTTAGAGGTAGATTTCACATGATTTGGCATTTGATTGGATGTGAGGGTGGTGATAAAAGAGAGGATCAAGGCTTAATGCTTATGTTGTGAGTTTGTGTGACTGGAAAAATGATCATCCCCAACAGACAGAAATAGAGAAGATTTCGAGGAAAATTGGGTCTGGGAGAAAGAGTTTTGTTTTGGACATGTTGAATTTGAGGTGCCTATGGGACTTGTGAGTGAAGATGTCTAGCATGCACTTGGTAGTGTGGGACTTGAGGTTAGGTAGAGATTAGGGATAGCTATCAACTTGGGTATTATCTACATAGAGATGATTGAGTCCATGGGAGGGAGCTGAAGAGGTCCCCAAAGGAGAGAGTATTGAAGGAGAACCAGTACGAGTTTTTATGGGCAATTGAGATAGTGGTAATACTTTATTTATAGTTAAAGAGCATTTTTCTGTTTAATAAAAATCCACTTTACAAACAGTATTTCATTTGATCTTGACAGGAATACTTTGAGAGAGTGTCATTATTCCCATTTTATAGATGGGGACACCAGAGTTCAGAGGTTAAATGATTTACCCAAGCACAAACTAGTACATGGTGGACTTCACACTCAAATCCAGGTCTTGTGCTACAAGTCTCATGCTTTTTTGACTCCACCCTTCTTCTCCTTCAAATTAATTGTTTTGAGTCAGATAAAAAGTTTGAAATGACCAATCCATGGACCCTTACCAAATGAAAACATTGGAAACCCTCTTCATTATCTCAACAACTCCACCCACATACCTCTGTAATATATGTCCCTTCTATGCATTCTTTGTATATGATTGCATTTACGTTATTATTTACATGGTATCTCCCCATTATAACTTAAGCTCCTTGGAAATAAATAAAGGCTGTGTTTTTACCATTTTTTTTTGTATCTTCAGCACTGTGGCCAGGGCCTGGCTCATAGGAAGTGCTTAATACTTAGTAAATGATTATTGATTGATTTGTCTTTTGCTCCAGCTGTAGGAGAGTCTTATGGTCCTAAGTAGATATTCAACTGCTAAATTTTTTGTTCTCTCTTTAGGCAAAATTGTGACTCTATATAGTCAGCAGTTTGTCTTTTTCCTAGAAATATAAATTATAATTTGATCCCAGGTTGCACTAACTAAATACATCCTCATACGAAAATCTTTCCCCTGTAGTTGGACTTTTAAAAAATATTAATTTATATTGCCCTTTTATCTTCAGTGAAAGTTACCTTCTTATATCTCACAGTGATTGCATCATTACCTAAATTACATGCAACATTTTCCAGTGGAAGTTGATTATGTGATTTCTAAAACTTATTTGTGTTGTGGAATTAAAATTTTTTCCCAGACTTTTATTAAGCAGTTGACTAACTGGGGAAAAGTTGCCATCTTTACAAGGTGGTTTTTTACCAACTCGAGATCAGTGTAACTGCCAAGTCTAAATTTTTCCAGTGTCTGAATTATACATGAAGGCATAAACTTAAGGGTTACCTAAGAGTCATTTAAATTAGGCTGGTTTTCAAACAACTTCTTCCTGGGTACAAAAGAATACAGTTTACTGAAAAGGGTGCACTGAGCCAAAGGAAAAAGTTAGGAAATAGAAATAGCAAATTTGGCTTCTACAATCGCCAGGCCTACTTTATAAATGAAATGTTTCTAAATACCCTTTGTATTTTAAAAGGTACATACATAGTAGACTTTTCCCACTGTAGATAAATGATTCTTTTGTTCCATTGTATTTACTATAATGGAATTTTCTCAGTGATATTTCAGTTCTTATACTACATACTCTCAATGAATTTATTATCTTAGGACTATTTGATACACATTGACTCACGTAATGCTCAGAAGTAGTGTTTCGTTAGTAACCTCATGGTAATTAAAATTTCACCAACAGTGTGACAAATTTAAAAATTGCTGTTTGTGTCTTAAACCAAGGATCATATTTCATACTTTTTTTTAAACTTTTGGTAATTTTCAGAATTTTGGATTTGAGAAATCATATGAAAATTCAGCATAAACTCTGATAAAGATTTCAAAAATATTAACTGCAGCAACATTAAACATTTGGTTTAGCTCAACTACAGATTTTTTTGTGTGATTAAAATTTACATAATAAAAGGTCAAACACCAGCTCAGTTAATTTTTAGCCCTTTGGATGTTGTTTCTTTTAAATAATAGGACAAAGTTCTTTCTGTCTTAGTAAGGATGGTAATATACTTAAAAGTTATACTGGAAAGAAGTGATTTTCTATTATTGAGTAGAAGTCTGGGAAACAAATGGAAAGGAAGAAACATTATTGAAGTAAGCAGGTCTCTTTTTTTTAAATGTAAAGGCAGTTATATGGACACTGCATTGTACTAAACCAGGTAGTGCACTGTAAGTAAAGAGCATTGGGAACCAAACTTGACCCCCAAAAAGAGACAGGAGAAGGCACTTCCCCTTGCTCCTTTGCAGAGAGTGGGGCCTGGATGTGGAACACTGTCTGTGAAGTCAGACGTTTTCAGTATGTTGTTTTTCATACATTTATTGTATCTTTTTTTTCTCTTTTTTATTCTTTGTTATACAAGGGATGACTTTCTGGGAGCAGGAAAACAAAAGTCATGGAAAAACAAAATAGATCAATAAAATCTGGATCTGTTTGCTTCCTAGCGTCGCCGCATTGC